TCCCCAAAATGACCCCCTTCCCCTGCCTCAACCCCCCGTCCCCCAAACCAGCCCCTCCCCAGCTTTGACACCCCAATCCCCCCCCTTTTCTCGTTCAGAGGGGGGTCCCCAGGGTGCTGGGGTTTCCTGGCCTAAGGGGACACAGTGCTGGGGGCGAGGGCTGGTTCCCCAGGGGGTGAACTGGGGGCAGACCCCCCCCTCCTCCAGCAGCAGGCACGGGGGGGGGACAAGAGCTCACCCGACCCCCTCGGTCTCCCCTAGAAAAGACGCGTCGCGGACCTTTTGGCCAACTACATCCCCGAGGATGAGGCACTGCTGCTGAGGAGCGGGAGGTGAGCGGGGGGGACCCCCGAGGGCAGCCCCCCTGCCCTCTCTGGCCACAGGTGGGGGTCCTAATGGCGGCTTCTCCCCCCTCCCCGTGCTGTAGGTACGCCTGCACGGTGTGCGCCCACCGCCCTGTCTTCGACACGCTGGACGTGCTGACGGTCCACAGGGCCGGCAAGAAGCACACGAGCAGTGAGTGGGGGACCTGCAAGTGGGGTTTTTTGGGGGGAATTTGGGCCCCCACCCTCTCCCCTTCCCTCTCTTCCAGGCCTCCAGCGTTTCTATGGCAGGAAACGCTCGCTCCAGGACACAGCCCCGAAGCGGCAGCACGAGCAGGAGGTGCAGGCAGAGGAGGCAGGAGAGCAGGTCGGTGCAGACCCCCCCTTCCTTCAGAGCCACCAAGCTGGGGAGGGGGCTGGAGAACAAGTCACACGAGGAGAGGCTGAGGGAACTGGGCATGGTTAGTTTGGAGAAGAGGAGGCTGAGGGGAGACCTCATTGCCCTCTACAACTCCCTGAAAGGAGGGTGTAGAGAGGCAGGTGTTGGCCTCTTCTCCCAAAGGACGAACGACAAGACCAGAGGAAATGGTCTGAAGTTGGGGCAGGGGAGATTTAGATTAGATATTAGAAAGAATTACTTTACTGAGAGAGTGGTCAGGCCCTGGAACAGCCTGCCCAGGGAGGTGGTGGAGTCACCATCCCTGGAGGGATTTAAGAAACGTGTAGACATGGCTCTTCAGGGCCTGCTCTAGTGCCCAAGGTTATTGGTTTATGGCGAGGTGTTGAGTGTGGGGTTTAGTTGGTGGGTGCGGTGGTTTTGGTGGGCATTTGGTGTGGTGTGGGTTTTTTTTTGTTTGTTTGTTGTTTTTTTTGTTTTGTTTTGTTTTTTTGTGGTTGGACTCAATGATCTCAGAGGTCCCTTCCAACCACTAAGATTCTGTGATGATTCTGTGATTCCTCACCCCGCCGGACCCCCGGCCAGCCCCCTCTGAGCTCTGTCCCCTCTCTCCCCAGGGCTCCCCGGCCCCTCTCTTGGCCCGGACGAGGAGGATCGCCCGGAGCGCTCTGCTGAAAGCTGCTCCCTACAGCAGCTGCTGCCGCAGGACGGGGTGAGGCCTTTGGTTTCGATGCAGGACGGGGGAAAGCTCTGGGCTTCCCGGGAGGAATCGGCAGCGCAG